AAATAGAAAACAATCAGAAGCTAAAAGGTAACTTTTTTGAGGCGGATGTGGCCAACTAAGATAGTAGTGCTTAACGAAGTAGTTGGATAAGAGGTGATCAGATTTATCATTCCACTCGAAAAACTGTTTAAAAAGTGAAAAATAATAATATTATGGGGAATTAGGTGGTATGTACATAAAAACAAAAACAATTAAAAATATAAGCATAACAACTTAAAGGCTACAGTATTTTGTATAAATTTATGAAATATTCCCAGAATACCCTAGTCCTGCGAGTAAAAAGTTGAAAATTACCTTTTTATTTTTAACCTAGAAACTGGAACTCTTTTTTTGTTATGATTATGCGTCAGACTTACAGAAGAACTTTCCTTCTAGGCAATACGAGCAATTGTAGAGCACAAGCACATGAATCAAGGTAATTGCAAAATGACTTTATTGGATAGAAGACATAGCATAAATTTTGGAACCACAGCCATTTGTTTTTTTGGATTATTAAATCAAAATCGCCGTCTATTTTACAGATCTGAATGGTAGGAGGTTATCGGGGACAACGGAAAAGGTAATGTGACAAAAAAAATTAGTTAAATTTTAGTTTTGTAAATTAACCTAGAATTTTTTTCTATTTTAGTTCTGAATTCGCGACATGACCATGTATGTGTCTATGTTTGTTTCGTCTGTTTTCTTAAAAAAAATTATGGGCTCTTGGTTGGAGGAGAAAGTGATTTATTCTATACTATAAGAGAAACGTAAATAGTATAGTTACATGTTGTATTTTAAATTTTGCTTTTGTGGACTAGGACCTTGATAATGAGAGAATGTAGTATGGTCATGACCCGTATTGTGTTCCATGGATTGAGTATTTTTATTTTGCTTAGGTTGATTAGTGCAGTTAGTAAGACAATTATGTTTATTAATATGTTTTGATTAGTGCAGTACTCTTTTATGTTTTGTATTGTGCCAGTCAAACGTATTTATGCACATGTAACAAAATAAACAGTTACTTGAATTAGCGCTAGATAGAGGTGATAAAATCAACCTTTCCAGATGTTCAGTTGGCGAACTCGAAATTCAGGCATACTATGCTAATGGGGACGCATACATTTTCAGTCATGTTTATCCCCCATTTGTTGTCATCCCAGTTAGTTACATGTAAGAAGTATGAGCAATCTTATGTGTTTGCAGGGAAACAAATCTGTTATGGAATTGGAGACTTCGCCTTAAAGATTGATTTCTATTGTGGGTGTTTTCAGGATTAGCATGTGTTGCAACGGTTGATCTTCTATAACTCAATGTGACATAACAATTTAATTGGTCTGATGCCCTCACAGAATTCTCATTTGCCATCATAGCAAAGACATGCGTTTGAAACGCTTCCCATATTCAATCTGGACTATTTATGCATGCAGTGAGCTATTTTGTCTCAATTATTTTCATCTTACATTCGTTTTATGTATTAACTTTGGTATTTAAAAAAAAATTCCATGCATACTTAATCTTCTATCTCTTATCATGTAAACTTTGTTTTGTGGATGTAATATTGGGATAAAACTAAACTTGGCTTATAGTATGGTTGATACGTAAATTAGCTTTTCTAAGATTTTGCACTAACTTTTAACCCTCATTTAGTTAGACACTGTGATTGATCATTCATAGAAATGAAAAACTTATTTATTTGTCTCAGTATTTTATATTATATTGTAATAATGTGTAGTATAGTCAAGCAGTGAAAAGTCCAATCTTGTAAGTAGTTTACTACTTTGTTCCCTCCATCTCTCTCTCTCTCCCACCCTCTCCCACACTCCTCTTTCTATCTCTCCTTCCCTCCCTCCCTCACTCAAGTTTCAGCCCACATAGCAACCCATGTACCAGACTATATAATTTATTATATAGTCTAGTATGTCACTTAGGGGTAGACTTAATTTTATTTAAACAATACTTAGTTGCATCCCTATGGTGAATCTCTAAACCATAAATCCAACCCCTATACACTAAATTCAAATCCTAAATCCTAGTCCATAAAACTAAACTTTTACATCGACATTAGGGTTTAGCTGACGATGTTAGTGTCGTTTCTTAAGACTTTGGATTTAAAATGTAGGATTAGAGGTTAAGTTTAGATTTAGGTTTATTGTTTACGTTTAGAATTTAGAGTTTAAAGTTTACCTAACGGCGTTAATATCGATATCGTCCTTTTCGATTTGGGTTTAGGGTTTACGGTTTGGGTTTAGGGTTTAGGATTAAGGTTTACGGTTTGGGTTTAGGGTTTCGAATTAGGTTTAGGGTTTAGATTTTGGTTTCCGGTTTAGAGTTTAGGTTTTAGGTTTAGCTTACAGTGTAAACATCACGACTTTGGAGTTCTTTATGTTGACAAGTTTTATTTTATGTTTCACCTACCAACATCCAACATATTTTCATACATGTTGGACCATGCCTGATCCGGTTTTTTTTGTAAACATAATGTAATTTTGTAGGTGATCTATAAGGTGGGTTGCTATGTTTTCTATACTAGCGCTTTTATACAATAGTATAGTATGTAATTTCACTTTCGAAATGTGTCACTCTTCTCATATTCACACTCACGCATGTCAACATAATCTACCCCTTTCGGATGTTAATCGCAATGGTGGTCTTTTGTGTTAATGTGTGCTATATACTATACTATAGTATAGTCTGTAACATATCCATACATGATAGTGGTGATTGTATACTACAGTCATTTACAGTATGTTCACCATATTGTATTCTCGGTTTCATTCACAAACAACCAACAACCTTTTCATTCCCATACCCCACTCGGTTTCATTCACAAAAAACCAACAACCTTTTCATTCCCCCACTCCACATGCCTCAGTAATTTCTCTAAAGAGGGAATGCCGTAGACGTGTGTTTTGTGGTGTTATATTTATACTATACTTTCTTCTCTATGCAATAGTCTTATTTGTACTTACATATGGACACATCTGCTTTACCTTTATGTTATGCCTTGGCGAACATATATTTTTTCCTATTCTGTCTCATTTTCTATACTATATAAGTTATACGACATCACATATATTATACCGATAGTATAGTTGGTTTGGATTACCACCTATTGACTACATGTTGTAATGTTGTGTCTCACCGGATCTTTACCATTTAACTTTTTGTTGGTCTTCGGGTGTTACAATTGTCTATCTTTTTGGATTTTATTCTCGATGGAGCACTTGTCTAGTTTTGTGTGCCCTATACTATTAAACATATTTGGTAGTATACGCTATTGTATGCTATGTTTCCTTGCAAACATTTTCATTGCTTACTAAAGTGATGTACACTGTGGTAAACTATACTATATACTGAACCCGCTAGTATAATCAGTTTGAATTTTCCACCCATTGAGTACATGTTGTACTGTTGCATCAACATTGTCTACCTTTTCGGCTGTTACTTTTGATGGTGTTGTTGTCTGGTACTGTATTCCCTATACTATTCAAACCTTTTGCATACATTCCACTTGTGCTTGTGTAAGACATGCATATCCAGTAGCGTCAAACCATTTCCAAACATTTTCATTGGTTGCTAAAGTGTTGTACCATTCGCACTTTCGTAAACTATACTATGTTCTTAATTCGATAGTATAGTCGTTTTGGATTTTCAACCTATTAAGTACATGATGTATTGTTCCGTCTCAATGGAACTACAATAATGCACTTCATGTAGTTGCTCGCGTGTCCCCATCTTCTATCAAAGCTATAGGTACCAAAAAAATATTTGCGTCCAAACCCCCTCCTTCCATTTCCGTAATTGGAATCCACTTAACAATCCATAATATAGTATATTTCCATTCATATTCGTTTTTCCTTTCTAAACTACATCACTATATATTATAGTATCGTGTTTTCTATTATTTGGACCCATATATACATGTACGTTGATTTCCATAAAGCTGATTTTTGTACCGAGCGTTTTATGGTTTACTCGCCTCTTAATGACGCGCACACGAGTGAAAGGATAAAATCGTCCAGAATTGTCGCTAATTGTCACGTCAAAACGGGTATAGCTATATTCTTTATTTTCGTTTCTCTTATGAATATTTAGCAAATTTCCCCTAATATTATGTGGCTATTTATCAACATTTTAAGTTTTCAACAAAAAAAAAATTCAAAAGATATACTGGAAAAACATGCTAAAAATATAATAATCATCATTTCAAAAATATCGCTATTACTCAAAATAGATAATATGTGAAAATATATAATTGTTATTTGTAGAATTTGAAATATATGTATAATTGCAATCTTTTGCATTATAATTCTAAGCTTTTCCTGTAGTAAAAAACATCAAATCTTAAATACTTAAAATAGAGATTACTTTCACTTTAAAATAAACTTATCATTTTAAAATATTCAATAAAATTGATAACATATTGTATAATTTTTCCAGTTACTAATCCGCCAAACCCTAGTTTAATATATAGCATACTTCCAATTGGTTGGTTGATTGAGATTTTGTCTTAGGAGTCGTTTTCTCATCTGATTTTCATCATTCTTTAAGTAATGTCTGACTTTTTACTTATCACATTATTATTTTAGTTTATATGTTTATAGACTTATAGTAATGAAATTATTCATTTTCAAGCTATAATAATAAATTAATAATATAGTACGATGAAATAATAAAATGGAAAAATACAGAAAATTTTTCCCTTTGGTAATATATAAGAGATATATATTTTGTCATAATCATATAGTGTTTCTTTTTTTGTTTTGAACAAAGCATATAGTGTTTCTAAAATTACAAAATAATAACTAAAAAGAAAACAAGAAACCACGGCCTCCGAAAAAGAATTTTGAAGAAATGAAAACTGAGTCAAGAAATAAAACCTATGGAAAAAGTAAAATACCGCGTAATTTATATGAGGACTCTTCCTAACACACCACGATCTCGCCACGTGTCCCACCAAAGCCCCCTAAAATCCTCCTTTAACCGCCAAATGAAACGAACTACACACACTTTCCCATTAACTCCTCTCTTCTTCTTTTTCTTCTTCTGATCATAACATCAAACTAAAACAAACTAATCGCAAATGGCTGAAGAAGATCGTATAACGTTAGCACCAACTGAAATATACGGCCGGAGCGATGAAGAACAACAGAACGGACCAAAAATCTGGCGTCGTAAAACAGAGGAGCCTCCAGGAAACTGCATCGTCTACTCTTTAACAATCATCGTCATCGTATTCGCAGTCTGTCTCATCCTCTCCCTAATCTTTCTCCGTATCTCAAAACCAGAGATCGAAACCGTGTCTATATCCACAAGAGATCTCTTGTTCAGCGGCAACTCAACGAACCCTTACTTCAACGTGACGTTAGTGAGCGATATCTCGATTCGGAACTCGAACTTCGGGGCTTTCGAGTTTGGGGATAGCTCGTTGAGAGTTGTTTACGCTGATCATGGAGTTGTGGGAGAGGCGACGATTGGCGGGAGAAGAGTGGAAGCTCATAAGACGGTTAGGTTAACCGGGATTGTGGCTGAGATTAGTTCGTTCCGGTTATTGAATAGGAGGGGTTTGGATTCGGATTTGGGGTCTGGTTTTTTGGAGCTGACTAGTGTTGCTGAGGTTAGAGGGAGGATTAAAGTGATGGGAAGAAGAGAATGGAAAGTTGGTGTGATGAGTTGTACCATGAGACTCAATTTGAACGGACGGTTTATTCAGAATTTGTTATGTGATTAGTAGTTATTTATTGGTTTTGTAATCCGGTAAGAAGATTATTATTCTTTTGTTTTTTGTGTCTTTGGTTCATGATCTTTGTATATGGAAGGGGAATAATTTTGTTTACGAAACTCGTAGGTGTTAACTAAAAAGTTTAGCGCGTTAATAAAATGTTAAATTATTTTCTCAATAACAAATACTACTACATGATAAAGGAACGTGAGGATTTTCACGTCTCAGGTATCTTCGGCTCAAACTTTGCGTGCAGAAGTGGATCGTCAGATCATGGATCGGCTGCTCTCTATCAAGGCTTCGAACAGCGTCCAGCCTTCGCTCCTGCAGTTCTACTTCTTCAGCATAAGGCCTCCGTGACTCATGCTTGTTCTTATGTTGCTGTTTCTTTGTTGTTGGGGTTGTTAGCTCTCTCTCAATAAGTTGCTAAGCAACATGTAAACTCTTGAAAATGGTATGAAATTTAACATGATTACTAAAAAAAAATTACTACTACATTAATGGTGAAGTAAATGGTCTTTAAGGAGACTTTCCCCTATATTTAATACGAATGCCCCAAATTTGACTGGTAGATGTACATACACATCACATTACATCTACTGATTAGCTCTACCGGCACAAATACTGGTTTAATATATTGGTCTGATGAGATGGATCGGATTTAGGATATGGTTGAATCGGGTTAACAAGCTTTACAGCCTTTACATACCGGTCCTCCATCCATGCATTCAGAAAAGTGGCTTAGTTCACTTTAATTGAGCCATTTCTGTTTAGAAAATTTGGATTTGGTTCGGTTTGTTTGGTATGTAAACAATATAAAACGATTAGAAATGAAACTTGATTTGGATTTTTTTTTTTTTGTCCTAAAATTTCATTCTGTTTTGAACCTCATATAAATTTGGACAAAGCTCAAACTGGTTGGTCGACTATTCTACTTATATTGGGGCTTGGGTTAGGCCTATTTTACTGAAACTGGCACAGAAAATATATTTTAAAATCCCTTATGTACTTGTCGTTTTATACATACATCAGTGATATTTGGTCATAAGCATTGAATGTTACAACTCGATGAAATAATCGACATGCATTTTGTAACCCGTGTGCACACATGATGATTTTGTAACTGATGAATTTGCAATCAGAGACAAGCAATATTATTCTAAATTATTTATTTATTATCTGTGAATTCTTTATAGGAAGCTAAATTTTGTTTTTTATCCAGTAGAACCTACTCTACATCTCTACGGGAACTTGAAATTTTATGGATTTGTTTTTTTGTGTGGGAATTATGATGGATCCGTTTCTTTCTTCTTTTTTTGTCGTTGTTTCTTCCTTATATTTTTACCGTATACGAACAAAAAGAAAAGAGAACATCACACTGAGAAAGAAAAAGGGAAAAAGTAAATCTGTTTTTTCACTGTTTTTGTCTCAACTTTCACCATCTCAGATATCAATAAAGCCTCGCATCTACTTCTCTTTCCGTCATTCCATATTTACTAATATACCATTCACATAGTAAAAAAGAAAGAAATGAAATAAATTCAAAACTAAATGACATATTTAGCATCTTTTGCTCTCTCTTTAGCAAACTGCTTTTTGTCAAATATTTTAGACAAACCCAACAATTTTCTATAATCCGCGTAACGTTTAACACATACAATCAGTTTTCTATAATCCGCATATTATCCATATGATAAAACGCATAACGTTTAACACATCAGTCAATTTAATTACACATACTATATAGTAGATTTTCTGTATTGTGTCTGTAATTTATTTCAAAGTTATTGTTTCTTATAAAAGATGATGACAAAAGAAAGAAGAAGAAGTCTACTTTTCTTCTTCATAAGCTTTATATGTTCCAAAGTTTCAATAGTCATCATCACTACATGACCAAACATAGAGCTGCTACCACTCTTACCAAAATACAAAGCTAAAAAAAGATACTACTAGCTTAGTATTTACAATAAACATAATTATTAATGTGTTAATGCGAGAAAAAGATACACGCTCGTTTCATTTATCGTAAGAAGAAGAATCACTTACCGATCTTGGTAACACCGACGGATCTTTATCTGAAATAAAAAAAATACTAATTATTTAATGAAATTCAGAAATGTTAAGAGAAAATGTTAATGAAGATACCTCGAGAGGAATTGAAAGATCTTTTGCAGTGTAAAATGGCGCTTTGAATGCTATCTTGCTGCTGCAGAAGCGAGTCGTCACGTCTCCTCGACTCAGACGGCGTCGTAACCGTCGCCACCGACGGAGCTATCGTCGTCGTCTTCGTGGAGGAAGAGGATCTGCTTTTACCGAGGTGCTTCCTCACTACTTTAAAACCCGCCGGAAGGTTGATGTTTATGTTTCCAGGTTTATGAGCCTTCTTCACCGGAGATTCCGCTTTCTCCTCCGCCTTGGCTCTCGTCGTCGTCGTCGTAGGAGCGGAGGAGTCTAACCTCAACTTGCCGGAGTGCTTTAACTTGTCGCCGTACTGACGCGAAACTCGGATGTAAAGAGGCTTTACTTTCTTTAAATACTTTTGCATCATCACGAAACGGTTATCTTCCGAAACGACGAGTTCGTTGCCGTTTTGCTTCTTCGGAGAGGAAGACGAGGATGAGGAGTTTCTTGAGCTGTTGTCTCTCGTGAAGAGAGAAACTATAGGAACTTCTTCAACTTTTAAATCCACCGTAACGGTACTTTTCAGTTGAGATTCCGTCAGCTGTGACGGAGTGTTGTTAGCTTCTGATTTCTCTTTCGCCTGGAGAAGCTTCGATTTCTTCGTGCCGCCGAGCATGAACACACGAAGCTTGGTGGCGGATTTTAAAATCGACGCCGATAACTGCGCCGCCGGAGCTTTGACGGAGCATGTCTGCTCCGTTCCCGATGACGGTGGCTCAACTTCGACCTCCTCCACGATCTGTCCCTTTAAGTAAACATCGCCGGAAGGAGAGACTATTAGGTCTTGAGCTACACCTTCTTCTCCGCCGGAGCATGATGAGAGAGTGAAGTTATACTCACAACCACCGTCCGTACAATCGGAATCTTTCTCTCCCCCGCCGACGTCGTCTTCGGAGACTTCATCTCCATGTTCGTTGCTCTCTTCGCTTTCTTCTTCTTCTTCAACGGGCACAGCGAATTTGAGATCAAAGAACGGTCCTTCGTCGTCTCCTGCATCCTCTTCTTCAGTGACGGAGGTGACTATGGTGGTGGCTTCGCCGGAGTAACGGCAAGAAGAGTCGGAGGAGGGAGGAGGGAGGGAGGTAAGGCCGGAGGAAACAACACCATTACCACTGTTCTTCCAGTAGTTGAGGAGACTGAAAGCTTCCATGGTTGGGAAAGCCAGAATCGTCAGCCTTTCAAAACGATGCGTTTTTGCAAGGTTTCTCTCCTTTTTACTTTTCTTTCTGCTGCTAAAGTAAGAGAAGAAAAGAAGGGGTTTACGGTGGGAGCTTGGAAGAGAAGAGTGAAAGCTATAAATGCTAAAGTGGTGAATAAATCACTAACATGAATAATTAATTATTTTTATCCTTCTTTTCCTCCGAATCCATTAAATTGAATTTATCCTTTTAAAATATGGAGTATTCGATATTTTTTGCTTTTAATTTCATCGCTATTTGCCAAATTTGTGAAACAATTGTAACAAAAAACCAATGCTATGACAAGCATAGTTAAACAGTAGTATGCTAAATTGCTAATTAACGTGTCAAGTTTTCATTGTCTTAAATTACAATTGAACATTAATGAGTTGCGATTTAATTGGTGAATTTATGTTAGCACTATGGTACTTTGCTTTACAGCATATTTATATATAACATGATACTAATCGCTATTCAAGGTTTGGTGTGAATTTATTTATTTAGAGTTGAACATTAGAATATAAAGAAAAACTCAAGGCTTCGGATGTTGTCTTCGTTTCTAAAATATAACAAAAAACGAATGTCACATTCGCGTAAATAAAAAAGAAGTATAAACATGTTTGATATTGTAAAATTCACTTTGAACTTTTACAAAGAAACAGAGCCAAAATAGATGATGAATAAGAGAAAAAACGTGGCCAAGATTTGCGTTCTGGAGCGAGTGAGTTGTTAAGCGTAGGGAGCAGGTCAGTCACGTGACTTTCAGACTGGGACAGTCAGACCAAAAGGTCAGATATCATTAAAGTATGCATACGTACTCTTTTATTTTCTACTCCCTCTACACAGTACACATCCATAATAAACAATACAGTAACAACTTTGTTTTTCACTTCTCGAACAAAAATTACTGAACATTTAGACAGAACTAATCTTCTTTTTTTTTTTTTTAATTTGTGTTTTTTTGTCAATGAATTTACTGTAATTTATTAGCGATGACTGAGCTTGATACTAGTATTGAGTATTGACTGAGCTTGAAATCTTATTATCTTTTGAAATTATCCTGTAAATTTTTTTTGTCTAAAGCTAAAATTATCATTTTTATTATTTTCCCCGTATCTAAAAATTATGCACAGGAAAAAATATTTCAGTCATCGGAGATTCTCATATACAATTTATACTCAGTAATTTTTAAGTCACCATTTAGTTCGAACCGTGGTATCTTTATACTATAACATTATTTGTTTTTTATTTGAACTGTCTGTTTTTATTCGCTTACACTACATATTCTGCAGCCAGTTTGGTTTAATTTTACGAGATTGTGTTACATAATAGCGCTCTTTTTAATGTTATATCGACAAAAGCGACGGTGTTGCGTAAAACTATTTTAAAACGAAACATATTCTGAAAGAATCTGGATAATGTTTTATATGATTGTAAATATGCACCATATGTGTAAAGTTTGTAGTTCCCAGACGTATTATTAACATAATCATTATTCGGCGAAAATTTTAGACAATCAGATTCATTAGATGTGGACCCCAAAGTCCCATTATCAGCCTTCTTTAATGGGCCCCAAGTTCTCATATTACTACTATATGTAAATTCGTATGAATATTGTTACTTTTTTCCTTGTTGACAAAAAATAATTTGTTGTTTTTTTCTTTCTACTTCATTATTTCCCAGTTCATTAAAGATGATTCATGGGATCAGTTCATTTTCATTAATACTTTATTAATATATTCAACGATAAATAATTTATTTTTTTCTTGAAGTTTATTCAGTGCTTCATTAAATAAGTTTATACGGACCTTGGTTGTTTCAACTATTTAATGCGACCCACTCTTCGAAATAGAAAGAAGTTTTTTTTCTTCTGTTAACTTTAACAAAAAAAAAAGCTTTAACAAATTCAAAAGGACAACGCACTTTCAAAAGCAAGTCAAAGAAGCTACTCTCTTGTTGTTTTATAGGGCTTCCTGAAATTCAGCTTTAGTGGATTCCTCCAAGTATAAAATACGTATTTTTCTTAAGATTAATATAAAGCACACATAGTAATTTTGTTCGCAGAAGTAGCCTATGAAGAGTGTTTAGAGAACTGTGTAGAAAACATAATTGGATCAATTATGTTTGAGATTGAAAAGTCTCATTCATGTACAAGAGGTATAATAAGATATAAATAGACAAAACAAATTGTATATTTTTTGGAGCAACTCAGTTTAGTAATAATGAAATAAATTCAAGAAAAAAAATCAATATTTTTTTGAGTTGTAAAAGATTGTTATGTGGGAACATCTCGTTATGTTTTAATTATGGACTTTATGTTGCTACTTAGAAAAAAACACAAATGTAAAACTTACAATTATGTGCTATTATAATAAATGTTTTAAAAGAACTTACAACTATAACAGTCGAGAACTTCAAAACCGCTCAATTCTATATCAGCAAAAGTAAGTTTTGGTGTTTGTTTTAGTATAGAAATGATATACAGCACTTTCTTTCTTTTATTATCTTAGAATTGTACATACATATTAAAGATACAATTAATTTTACATATTTTTAATATAAAAAATACAATTACTTATATACCTAATCACATTTTAATCAATAAAAAACTAAATTACATAATAAAATTAATAAATTATATATCAAAAATCAAAAACGACACTTATTTTGTAATAAAAAAATTTCTACAACGACATTCAATATGGACGGAGGGAATATAACATTTTATACGTGAAATCGTTAGACCAATGCTCCAACCAAATTTGACAAAATCTTTTATTATTGGTCAAAGAAAAACGCTTGAATGCAGCTAGCTGTTTCCGTCCACCTTAATCATTAAGCGGATCACCTATTTCTAATTAAATGATGATCTCGAATAATATCAGATACTTATAGTATGAGGTCTATAACATATGCTCTTTTTACCATGTTAATCACGAGAAGGATATTACTACCCTAGAAAAATCTGATCTTGTCGGGAAATTGTTTGGCATGCTACATCAATAGTAAGCCCTATAGATTCGATTTGGCTAGCGGCTAGCTACATACATTAATTCTTCTTCCTTAAATTAGTGTGTTTAGTAGTGTGATAAATCAAGGTTTTGAATGATAACTAACCATTCTGCACTGTACTACCTTGAATAATATTTTTTTATTATATATTTATACATTTTGTTATTATTTAAACCATATTGTAGTTATTACGCAGTTGTCATACATGTTATCATTCATAATTCAAAATAAAAGAAACGATGTGATTTTAATCTGTCTACATACATAATTCAAAATAAAAGAAACGAGAGAGAGAGCGAGATAGAGAGATATGTGTAACATTTCTTTTAATCTGTCTACATACATTTTACGAAAAATTTATGCATAATAATATTTTCATCTAAAATAAAGAATTACAACACATATACAATACAATTCTAATTAGTGATAATAGAAAATATGTTACTTATAAAACTACACACTATTAATTTCAGATTTGGAAAATAAAATTCAACCTTCAACACACAATTTTTTTTGTGATGTTGCAATTATAAATACACACAATAACTACCTATTGATAGTGAAGTTACTTTGTTCCATCTCCTCCATGTAAAATATTGTGTAGCGGCATTTTTGTGTGCCTGAAGCTTTACCTCAAAGACGGTGGTCTTATGATATAAAATCTATTACTTCTAAAACTTTGTATTATTAAGTCTATAATTTGAATCTGTATATACCCGCACAGGGTGCGGACCGGTCACCTAGTTCAAAATAAAAGAAACGATGTGATTACTAGACCAATAACCACGATTATATTTTTGTCTATAATAATAATAAATTCTATTCCACAAAAATATTGTTGTAAGATTTAGGTATTTATTCATAAAGAAATAGTCTTATTATATTTCCAATAATATATCCTTTAATTTTAATTAGTTGATTTTTATACAGTTATACTATAACTTTACACTCCAATTGATAAAGACTTTTGAGGCTTTGATTTTAGACTTGTGACCGTAGAGATTTTGACTTTAAAACTATAGTTGTTACTTCAAAAAAAAATTAAATGCTTGATTAGTATCAAAAACTTTAAAATCTGTCATTGTTATAAATATATATGGAACCCAATATATTTATGCTTCATTTAAAAAATTGTATTATTTATTTAGATCTATTTAATGTTTATTTTTTATGCAAATCTATAAAATATATTGGATTGTGTTAAACAAGAAATCACTAAAAATCTATCAAAAATATATTTTATTAATTTTATCAACAAGAATTTAAATTGTAACCAACAATTATATTTTCATTATTTGAATAAGATTTCAATTTATTAAATAAACCAAAAACATTATTAAAAATTTAACGTATCATAGTCCATATAAAATATCTTCTTAAAACAGTATTTGATTATTTTTTTTAATTTGAATCATTCATAAATGTTTCAATTACTTATAGAATAATTCATAGACTTTAACAAACTAATGTCTAGTAACAGTAAATTATGACTTTTTCTTGATGTTAAAAACCTAACTAATTAATGATAATTAATTTATAAACTATTATACTTATTGTTTTCTTTGGGTCAAAAATGAACATCAGACAAAATCTAGTTATCCACGTTATTTAACAAAATGAAAAATATAAGATTTTATAAGGCTTTAAGAGCATCTTTATTGGTGTTTCTTTTTTTTAAAAAAATTGCTTCATATTTTACATCAACACTATAAAAAGACATGGGCGTAAAGACTGCATTTTTAGTCATTGTCGTTGTAATTTATCAATTACGACTACCTAACGACAATGAGCGATTCGTCGCTAGGTACTCGTCGTAATGTACAATTGGACGTAAAATCTTCGTAAAATGTACGAATAAACGATTTCGTCGTAATTTGGTCATAAAATTTATAGTCGTAAAGCGGACATATAAGACGTAAAGTTACGTCATTTCTTTTTGACATCCATTAGTGGTAAAAATTGGTCGTGAAATAGTCATTATGATTAGAAATTAAACATCATTAAATTAATCGTAATATT